TCTACATGTACATGATACTGCGTTAATGTAGATAATCTAGGGACTAGTGAAATTGTAATTTGTAAAGTATAAAGTACAAGCAATGCATTCAAAGTGGAGATTTAGCAAGGTAAAAAAAAAAAAGCTTTCACCTCTAGCATACATGTACATGTTATATGTTATTATTACTTCTGTGCCTGGTGCATTAGTTGTCAACTTTTCAAGCCTTTTGGCTTTTACGAATGCACCATTTTCAATTTGTACTGTGGTTTATACTTACATGTACGTGTATATATTTTCTTTGTATTTTGAATGCTAATACGTCAATTAATATGCAATTTTGAATTTTGATACTGCTATCTGTTATGATATTCCATATTTTTATCTTTGTATATATATATATATATACATATATATATATATATATATATACATATATATATATATATATACATATATATATATATATATACATATATATATATAGTCAGGATGATGGAAACATATGTCAATTCAATTCAATTCAATAATGTCCGAAACTGAAACTGCTTTAGACAGTGCACACTTGTAAAAGTATGCAAAATTTTAAAATCCTCTGACACAACTTATTCATAATTATAATTTTGTTTATCCAGCCTTTAAATCCTCATCAGCATTACCCAGAATGAAAGCCAGAAAGGCATTTAAACACAATGCGAACTCACATGAGTTGAAAACAAATTTCTGTATTATATTATGGACAATAAAATCTTGAATCTTAAAACCTAGAGCTCTGTTCTATTTTGCAATAGTTTAGATGGTAATGATCATTACACCCGCTGTTGAATGTGTATTCATCATCTGCTGAGAGCCAGAAGGGCGTTATCTAACTACATGTGTTTGTAATATAGTAGTATTACATGGGTTAGTGCCCTTCTGGCTTTAGAAAGACAATACATTGTATATTGCATACATGTGAATGTTGGCTTCAAACCCTTCTACCCGGCTCTAAGCTGACATTATATGAATTTTTTTTCAATCTCAACTCTATTTCCAAATCTAAATTCAGTGGCATCCCCTCACCAGGACGACGATAATCGGTCGCCTCACAACAATCAATACCCAATCATGCTGCATAAATTGACGGGCTTTGCACCAAGATGTGTCCTACTCTAGGAAAGAGGCGCACAGGAATATATTGCTCACAAATTGGAGAAAAGGGCAACCAAGTCGGCTCTGATATGTACCTGCCTATCTTCTATATGGTGGCTATGTTCAGAAGGAATGCTCATCTTTTCAACGAGGCCTGCATGTAGACTCTACATGTACTTCTGTTTATTTTTTTCAACTCTTTTTTATTCACATCGATCTGCCTTATCACAGCCACAGCCATTGCTGCCTTTGTTGTTGTTACAGTGTTTTGATTTGATTTGATTTGATTTATTGGTTTCTGCATCTTTTTCTTTCTTTTTTCATCATACATTTTCATGAACATAATATCATTACTGTTTTATTATTGTTATAATCATCATCACCATTCCATTTTAGATTACTGTAATTGTTGATGATGCCATTGCTGTCATGATCATCAGGATCATCATCATCATCATCATCATCATCATCATCATCATCATCATCATCACCATCATCATCATCATCATCACCATCATCATTATTTCTTTTACATCCTTTCATTACAAAGGCAAAGAAAATTGAGGGCAAAAGTAGGGCAAAAATTATGCTCAAGCCGGCCCATCTGCCTTAGTTTACAAAGAGGGTATCATGGTATGACAACAAAAGCTATCTCATTTAGATAGGTACCCACATTCCATTCATCAACCCCATCCCACAATGCCCTTCTCCTTTTCACAACTTTCAATTATCATCACATATCTACAGTTTAAATGACAGAGGATAGCAATTTTACTGATCATATTTTTCATTTTGAGCTGGCACAGATGGTAATCAAGACCTTCAGCCAAGGTTTTGATATACTGATCTCAAAGCCAGTGTATAATATAAAGTCAGTTTTCTAAGCCACTTTTCGACCCAAGGTTGCTATTCTAGCTAAGCCAGTTAAAATGGGTTTTCAAAGCCAATTATATGGGACTTTGATACGTTAATTCTAAACTATTTAATATTATTGGCAATTTGGCATGAGTGTGAGGGTATTTGAAAGGTTGAAAGGTAGAGCTTTAATAGAATAAATGAAAGCTTAAAGAACAAGTATTATCACCAGGTTAAAAGAGGGAGTAATTTATTCTCATTTTCAAATTCATTGATTTAAAATCATTTAAAAAATTGTAAATATTAAAAACAGAATCATTTATAAGTGTTCTCGCTGATGAAATTAGATACATTCATTGATTTTTTTTCTTGTTCTTATTTCTTCGCTTTTGAAGCATGCAACAGCAAGAAGACAAAGAGCCACAAAACTAGAAAACGTACATACAGTACATGTGTGCCTCTCACAAAGAAACATTATGCGTATAGCCCCCGGGAGATGTACAGTATAAATTTCAATCAGTATAGACTGTGCGCATAGCCTAGTTTTACCAGGCAGCACCACAGAGCCTTTGAATTTGAAAAAAGATTGATTATTCCTCAAGGAAGACCCTACTTGAAGTCTGCTCGTAGATAAATAGTTTTCATGGATTAGGCCTATCATAATGCACAGCACTTTCGTGAGGTTCGTCACCTCAAATGTATTGATGAAAAATGCATGAGTACTCACATACTTTTAGATCTTCACATAAAAATGTCTGTTTGAAGTAAGAAAATTATTTAAGTGTTTCCTTCTGGCTCCAAACAGATATGTTTCAGGAGATTTTGCAATTTTGAATTTATTTGTATGCTGAAAGGGGGATGGAAACATTTGAATTTCAGATAGTATTTGAATGTAAATACATGCCTTTTATACCTTGGCCATGTAGAAAGGAGAAGGGGGAGATGAGAGAGGAGACGGGATTTTTTAAAAAATGAAGGAGAAGGAAGGGGGATGGAGAAGGGGCTAAAGAAGAAAGGGAAAGGGCACAGTATCGACAAGGAAAGAAGAGGGGTAAAAGAGTATGGAAAAGAAAAGAAAAAATGGAAAGGGATGGAGAATTGGGAGGAGGTGAGATGTAGGAGGGTTGAGGGAGGGGAGACATGGAAGAAGGACGGTGGAGGACTGGGAGGAGGGAGACTAGAGAAGGGAGGAGCATGGAGGAGGAATGTGGAGCGGGGGGCAGGGGATATATTGCAGAACGGACAAGAAAAAAAATGAGGATTGAAGAGGGGAACATAGAAGGGTTGAGGGAGGAGAGGTGAGAGAGGAGGTAGAAGAAAGATGGAGAGGAGACAAAAAGATAGGAGGTGGGAAGGGAGAGAGGGGAGGAGGAGGGAGGAAGGGAGAAGAGGGAGAGGAGAGTGATGATTTCAGGGAGGATTGAGGGAGGAGAATGAGAAAGAACAAATTTTGGCAGATATAGGAAGGATGAGAGAAGAGAAAGAGTGGAGGGGAGCAAGGAAAGGAGATTTAGAGAGGCAGGTGGGAGGGATGGATAGAGAGGATTGCAGAAGAAGAAAAAAAAAGATTGCAGAAGAAAATGGAGTGACGAGAGAAAAAGAAATGTTAGCCAGCAGATGGGGTATATTTAATGAGATTTAAGGAGAGGATGGGAGTACAACAAAAAACCACAGTAAAGAACATATTTCATTTAAAGTGCACCAATTGCCTAAAAAGGTAATTGTGTACTGTAGAATGTATAAATATCAGCCTCAAAAAATTCATCTGGCTTTCTATAGGATTACGGATTGAGAGAATGAAGAAACTAAAGAAAAACGTAAACCAACACACAGATATTATGACATCGAACTGCTAATAAATTAAAGCATTATATTTTTTGATGATTGTTTCACTTCAAAATCAAAGGAAAAGAGTACAGATATAGATCTACATACCCGGTATAGCATTTAAACAAAACCTCTGATAAAAGGTAAAGGCCTATACATATGACAAGGATATCATACGTTATAAACAATACGCAAGTACATGTTGCAGCCATCAACTCAATGTAACCATGGACCTACTAGACGTACTATAGTAGGTCCATGATGTAACTTTGTAGGAAAGCCGTTTTCATCTGTGCATCCAATATCGAGTTAATTTTCATCCCATTTTGTCCAATTGTGCAAACGACATTACTACAACCAATTTCATCTTGCGCTAGGACTTTGGAGAGAGCTCAACCAAAGAAGCTAGGCTGTTGACTTTTTCATCAAATCCATATTTATTCAGATACACACTTTGGTGCCACCAAATGCCTTCCTCCTTCATATAGGCCCAAAAACTATCAATCATACTTTTATTTCCACTGTTTAATATGACAGCATATTTGTTGCTCATTACTTTTTAATACAGCAGTTTGCTATGAAGAAAGATAGGCTCCCTGGCAAACATGACTACTGTGTAAAATGGAATATTATATTTACTATGTAGGCGTACCTATTGATCAGCAGTTTTACACAAATTCAGAAAACGCTGGGTTTTGTCAAAGAGAATACTGATGTAAGATCTTTTATAGCATGTAAGTGTCTGGACTTATTAATTGTTTAAGTGCAATTGTAATAAAACTTTTGAATGAATTACGACTACTGGTACACATATATAATAATTGATTTTTTTTTTTTACAGATAATGCAAATCCATGACTTCCATGTGTAACACGCCGATCACACGCAGAAACTGGTAGAAAATACTCGATCACACCATTCGTTGTGTTGCGGTTCTTTTTATTTCAGGTGCAAAGTGAACAAAGCTAAAGTAAGCTAAAACCTGGACAAATAAACAAAGTTAAAACAATTAAATAAAAATGTGGACATGTTTGAAAAACACACATAATAGCGATAAATATAATATTTGTTAATGACTCTAAGATACGAATTCCAACAATATGACGTCAAGCCGACTCATGATAATAAATGATAAACAGGTTGTTTATATTCCATTCATTAAAACTTAATCAATATTGCATGAAAATAACAAGTATCTAATCACAAATAAAGTTCTTCCATCTTTATGGATAACTTTCCCAACAAATAAATGAATACAACCATCAAGTGAACTTTGTCAAACAATCATACATAACTCCCAATTAAAACTACATTGAATTAGTGGTTTATACATTGAATATGATAACCCACTCACCCTGGCAATCTGGCCTAGAGGACCGTTTCTTCTCGTTCCCACTTCTTACATGTTGATTGTAATTTGTCAACACCTGAAGGAATAATAATTCATACAAATCATTGTAAATTTGACTCTAAAACACCAAACTGAAGAAGGTTCAGATTATATCCGCTAACTGTTAACTCTTAAAACATTACTTTAAATTACAACTGTCTTGCAAAATACGATTATCCAGAGTTAAACTCAACAACACATTATATAACTAAAACTTCTAAAGATTACAAGTAAGATAACATATAACATAGTAATATTCAAATCATCTCAAATTACTATAACCAAATCTTAATCTAGTGCTCAACTCACTAACGAAATCAACCTATACTGATGATTAAACAAATAATATGCCATACCTTACTCGCATATTAATTCAGCACAAACTATATCGTTAAAAACAATACCAAGGTTATTAACTAACATCAAAATACATCTACAAAAGTACTAATTATCTCAATAATTATCCAACTTAACAAAAGAATAATCTTCTTACCTAATGACATGTAACACCAAAAGCTTGCAGAGTCGACCTCCCTGCCTGCCCCATGGATGGGGTGCAGTACAGGAGTGAATCTCACAAATACCTCTGCCTTCTTTTATAACAGCTATACTCTCACGGTGGTATAGCTACCACACATAACCTGTTCTGGTAAAGGGTCTTGTTATTGGGAGGGAGACAGGAAGTCTTTTGTTTTGGAAGTTTGGTGGTTCTTATCTAATGTTTACATTCGGCTAAGTTATTACAAGTGTTCTGGAAGGGAGGGGGGGGGGGGGGGGTCGAGTTACCAACCTTTGACCAAGTGACCATACATCATTAACTCTCTCATAGCTGTGGAATGTCATGTTTTGGCCAAATTGATAGCTTCTACTCAGAATATGTGTGAGTCATACTTCTTTGAAGTACAAAGTTTGTTAACATATAAACTTCTTACTTTCCTCCTGAGGAGATATTGATTAGAAATAAATATATATGTTTCACTATAAAACAGTTCAATTCTGACCTGTTACACACTCCCCTGCTTAATTGAGTGTCGTCCCGACACTCAGACTACAACAAAAATTATATTTAATTCCCTCTATACCTTCTGCCCATCATGGCTGTTTCCTGATCCTAATACCGATGCCTACCAATATGCAAATCAAAATTAACCATGTGATTAAAAATATTTTTGCATAATACAGAATATAAAAATTGAAATCATAACACATTATTGGCCAACCCGCACCACTTATACAAACTTTCTGGTCTCATGATGAGAATCACAGAAAACATATCTAGTGCAAAAACTCAACTGTTTCAGTCATTCTAGCACTCCTTATTATGTAATGCTGGTCTCATGTCGAGGCTCCTAGCATTAACATTAGTGCTACCCAACCGATCCTAACAGTTCCAGAGTCTCTACTGCCAAACCTTAGTTATCAACACAAATCTTAATATTACAGGCATCTCCAACAAGCCAGATGATTTTCACGGTATACCCAATTAATCTACTCAGTATCATTTTAAACACACAAAAACAATAATCGTCCTTATAGTACATGTACACACTCTAGCAAATACAGCAGTAAAACTGTCAACTATATTTCGTAACGACCTTGCCCTACAGATATTCCTTTCGCATATCTTAATAAACTCCTAAGATACAAAAATTCGACAATGCAATATACAAAGAAATCTTATAACTTTTGGCTAATCCTCTCCGCTACCAATGTGCCCTTTCCGGCCTCTCTATGAGGTTAACAGAAAAACAAAGATAGAGAGATAAACCCTACTGTTCCTAGAAGTCGCCCCAGTATTTCTTCCATGCATGATTCCGGTCTCATGTCGAGGTTTTCGGAATAAACATTAAATACACTATCCAGGCTAAGTCCAACAGTAATTCCAGCCAAATCCCAGTTACATTCCAGAAATCTCGGTATAAAACAATACAATATCCATTACACAACACACGCACATAGTTACTCCGAACAATTGCTGACCCAAACTGAAACAACATTTCACGTTCATGGGCTCCCCTGCTTTTTCAAAAGCAGTCTCTAAAACTAACAAATATACATCATGCATATCAATTCAATAAATGTGATATACATACACTACAACCTAAACCTAACTTATCCTTAAGTTACCGAAACTTTAATATCATGCCCAACTTCAAATCTCAACAATTTACAAGTTCAAATAAAGGAATATTCCAACTATTCATAAGTGATAAAGCTAGAGCTTCATACCTGCTCTACACCTACATGTACTGTTATCCCTCCTATCAATATATAAAATACCGGTGTCTTTGTATGCCATCCCTTAATTTGAGGCTCCATCCAACCAGCCGAAATTAAATACGAAAGGGGGTATGGATTGTTCCAAACACAGTATTATCATGACAGTCTCAACAACATATGAATAGTATTACTCCTTAATTTCCCCAAAACAATTTAAACTGAATACATTAAAGTATTCCATTACAAGATAATTTTAATAAAATTACCCTAAACAGACAGAACGTAGCTCCTTACTAAACTTCACACTAGCTTAGCAACAAACATTCATACAATACACACAATCGCTACAACTTAAATCTACGTCCATATTTACAGGTTTCCAGACGTCCATGTCCGATCACGTTGTCGTGATAGAAGCTCCACAGAAAGCCAGGGCTTGCACTTGCAGTGATGAAATCCTGCCGATTACGCCATTTGTAACACGCCGATCACACGCAGAAACTGGTAGAAAATACTCGATCACACCATTCGTTGTGTTGCGGTTCTTTTTATTTCAGGTGCAAAGTGAACAAAGCTAAAGTAAGCTAAAACCTGGACAAATAAACAAAGTTAAAACAATTAAATAAAAATGTGGACATGTTTGAAAAACACACATAATAGCGATAAATATAATATTTGTTAATGACTCTAAGATACGAATTCCAACAATATGACGTCAAGCCGACTCATGATAATAAATGATAAACAGGTTGTTTATATTCCATTCATTAAAACTTAATCAATATTGCATGAAAATAACAAGTATCTAATCACAAATAAAGTTCTTCCATCTTTATGGATAACTTTCCCAACAAATAAATGAATACAACCATCAAGTGAACTTTGTCAAACAATCATACATAACTCCCAATTAAAACTACATTGAATTAGTGGTTTATACATTGAATATGATAACCCACTCACCCTGGCAATCTGGCCTAGAGGACCGTTTCTTCTCGTTCCCACTTCTTACATGTTGATTGTAATTTGTCAACACCTGAAGGAATAATAATTCATACAAATCATTGTAAATTTGACTCTAAAACACCAAACTGAAGAAGGTTCAGATTATATCCGCTAACTGTTAACTCTTAAAACATTACTTTAAATTACAACTGTCTTGCAAAATACGATTATCCAGAGTTAAACTCAACAACACATTATATAACTAAAACTTCTAAAGATTACAAGTAAGATAACATATAACATAGTAATATTCAAATCATCTCAAATTACTATAACCAAATCTTAATCTAGTGCTCAACTCACTAACGAAATCAACCTATACTGATGATTAAACAAATAATATGCCATACCTTACTCGCATATTAATTCAGCACAAACTATATCGTTAAAAACAATACCAAGGTTATTAACTAACATCAAAATACATCTACAAAAGTACTAATTATCTCAATAATTATCCAACTTAACAAAAGAATAATCTTCTTACCTAATGACATGTAACACCAAAAGCTTGCAGAGTCGACCTCCCTGCCTGCCCCATGGATGGGGTGCAGTACAGGAGTGAATCTCACAAATACCTCTGCCTTCTTTTATAACAGCTATACTCTCACGGTGGTATAGCTACCACACATAACCTGTTCTGGTAAAGGGTCTTGTTATTGGGAGGGAGACAGGAAGTCTTTTGTTTTGGAAGTTTGGTGGTTCTTATCTAATGTTTACATTCGGCTAAGTTATTACAAGTGTTCTGGAAGGGAGGGGGGGGGGGGGGTCGAGTTACCAACCTTTGACCAAGTGACCATACATCATTAACTCTCTCATAGCTGTGGAATGTCATGTTTTGGCCAAATTGATAGCTTCTACTCAGAATATGTGTGAGTCATACTTCTTTGAAGTACAAAGTTTGTTAACATATAAACTTCTTACTTTCCTCCTGAGGAGATATTGATTAGAAATAAATATATATGTTTCACTATAAAACAGTTCAATTCTGACCTGTTACACATGTGTACATACAAATCCACAAACTACATTGGCCATATGACTTTTCTGCAAATTTACAAGCTTTTTAAAACAATAATTCTCTTTTGAGTGAGAACACAGCCATTGATCAAGTGTTTACTGGAATTTGAGCTTTTTTGTAAACTACATTTCTTGGAAACCACACACATCTTTAAACCCATATCTTTGATCTACATTACCGTACCACAAATGTAGACTCAACCAGGATATGTACGGAAGGCGAATATAATTTCCTCATAATACTTCATGCAGACTTTTTTGTTTTTTTGTACACATGGATTTATGGTACTATAAATTTGAGAGTGGCAATAGTAATTGTACAAAAAGTCTACTGGTATCTTTAAAAGCTTTGAAAAAATTAATTAGACAATTTGGAATACTTCAATCTTGGAAACCAGACAAGTCTTTATCTTAAGATCTACATTACCACAAATGAAGACTCAACCAGGATGTGTATTAAAGAAAGGTGAATCTGATTTTCTCATAATACATGTACTTCCTGAAGAGTTTTGTTACACACATGGAGTTATGGTACTACATTTGAGAGTGGCAATAGTAATTGTGCAAAAAAAGTCTATCTTTAAAAGCTTGGAAAAAATGAATTAGAAAATTTGGAAGACTTTGTCATTTTCGATTTTTTTTTTTTGGTCTCCTACTTCATCTGGTAATCCGCACTAAAAAAGTAACGATGTTTATACCTTCAAATGTAATTTCATATTATTGGGAAATATAAATTATCCTTGGTAACATATTTCACAGAGAATCACTTTTAAATAGTGTATACACATACAACTGTACAGTAAAATGCATGTTATTCATCTGATCAGATCCAAAAGGGCATTATCTCCTTGTTATTAAAAGTATAAGAATTAATGACCTTTTAGCTTCAAGCAAACCATACCAGTATGGCGAAACTGAGCTTTTGTCAAGACTACTTTAAAATGATTATACAATGAAGATACAGGTATTTATTGTTTGAAATATCAACAGCCAAATTTATGTAGGCTTATACATGATATTAGACTGGATTCTTCAGCAAATATATCATACTAGTAGCTAGGAATAGGAGCTCCTTAGCTACATGTAGGTTTTTAATGGAAAAAAGAGATTAAATGTTTACACGTCAATAATAACCCCACTTAACAATAAACTTTACAGTTTATAATATTACTGCTACACATGTACATGTACTGTACATGTATATGTCTGCTATCTCATGTGTTGAGGAGCCAAAAGGGCATTAAACTCAGTGTTAGTTAAAGGTACTAGTGTCCCAGTTGCAGCCAACATTAAAGAGAAGGTTGAGTTCTGGGAAAAGGTGAAAAAAGAGGTGACTTTCTAGACACTAGTGGGTGACTGACTGACATCTTTTTCTTCTTTGGTAATAACATGAGCTGTAAAGGGTATATGAGCATTTGTCTACATCAATAACTCATTTCTTGTAATTGCCAAAATTAAACTGATTGAATCTTTGTGCAGCACAAAACGTACACCATTAGGTACAAGGGTCTGAAAATCAGACTATTTACTAAAACAATTGCAATCCCTAACTAACAAATACCGGTAGACATTTTCAAGCCCTTTTGTTTCGAGGGAAGAACTAAATCAGGATTATCTTCCAAATGCCTATGGAATGTAACATTTTCATTTTTTTAGCCTGCAAATGGGACATACATGTGGTACCTTTAAAGTACATGAATTAACTCCTGACTTTAAGGACACAAAATGTACCTTGTTCCTGAATTTGTTTCCTGTTTTCTGACTGCATGCTACCGAGCACTTGATCGATATCCTGTAGTATTTATTAATATCTATTTAGGCAAGGGAATTATATGTCACGATGTGATTTTATAGAGCTAGATACTATTCAGAACATTTGTCATTATTTATTAACACCTATTCAGGCAAGTGAATAATATGTCATGTTGTGATCTTATAGAGCATAACATTCAAAACATTTGTCATTATTTATCAATACCTACAGTACATGTATTCAGGCAAGTGAATAATATGTCATGTTGTGATCTTATAGAGCATAACATTCAAAACATTTGTCATTATTTATCAATACCTATTCAGGCAAGTGAATGATATCTTCCTTGTTTTCACGAAGTGACGGTAGTGAGGAAAATCGTAACGCAAAGTGAATGCAATTTTTTTTCACTACCATCACTTCGTGAAAACAGCGACGATATGTCACATTGTGATTTTATAGAGCATAACATTCAGAACATTTGTCATTGGGATTCATTTGATCGCATGATTGGTTTAACTCAAAGGGTCCCATACATGTGGGAGACCAACTGATGTTGAATGGGCTACCCTGTTAAGAAAAATAAATGAATGCTACAGAGCATTTGATCGATATCCTGTAGTATTTATTAATACCTATTCGGGCAAGGGAATTATATGTCACATTGTGATTTTATAGAACATCCCATTCAGAACATTTGTCATTATTAATTAATACCTATTCAGGCAAGGGAACGTTATGTCACGTTCACGTTGTGATTTTATAGAGCATACCATTCAGAACATTTGATCGCATGATTGGTTTAACTCAAAGGGTCCCATACATGTCGGAGACCAACTGAATGGGCTACCCTGTTCAGAAAATAAAAGAATACAAATTTTAGAATGGTTGTATGTCACATGCTCTGGCGAGTCGGGTGACTATTGCACCATGGTTTATATCTTACATTAATTATTTTTTTTAAACTTCAAACCCTACACATTCCCTAAAGCTAACCAAAGGCCTATCCAGACCTGCCAACCTCTGGAATTCAAAAACTGTATTCTTTAATCCCAAAAGTTGTATTTTACTGACAAAAGGTGTATTCTTAAAAATAAACACGAACTGTTACGTGGATCAATGCCTCTTACAGTTCCTACATACAGGAAGAATTTTTTTGGTTTGGTTTTTGGATCATTGGTTGAATGTGCATGAATTTGTCACCACTGTTGTGTTCGATGAACCAATGAATATCCCCAAATTGGCGATGGGAGATGCTTGTGGGATACTTGACAGGACAGAATGGGCATTTTGCCATTGAAAATGGCACACACAAAAAAAATATTTAAAAAAAATATTTAAAAAAAAAAAAAAAAAAAAAAAAATTGTTTTTTTTTTTTTAAATCGTATTTTATTGATGAAAATCGAACTGTCGTATTTACTTTTTTATATAATTATAATTTATCATTTTGTATCCCAATCGCAGCCCAATATTGAAAGCCCAACTCTATATCGTTGCCCACATAAAGCCTGGAGCAATCGTCGTCAGTGCATTAGTCGGAGCAGCAGAATATCTGTGATGTGTGTCGTGGCACATAAGCACAACATAAAAATTCAATGATAATTTTGAAAAGTAGCATCGTTTTTGGCCCCATATTTCAGTCAAATTTTAATGGGTCCAATGGGGAGCCATTGTCAAAAAAAATATCCCAGCAGTTGGACTCTTCAAAATGTGTTTGGCAACCATTTTGGGGAAAGAAAGGGCATTCTTCTCAGAGTTGCATGTGCTGAGTGATTTCATCCATTGCAATTCATAAACAAATTTCTCAGGGAG